AGCGTACCCGGCCATCTTCGTTCCTCGGCGCGGCACGGTAGGGGCGGGGCTACGCAGGCCCCGCCCCGCGTGTGGCCCGCCCCTCCCCATCCCCTTCTCCCTCGGCGGCTCCTCCCCCGCTTGCTGCAAGCCCTTCAATCTCCCTTGGCTGCTCCGCCTCCAGTCTCTCCTGGGGGCTCCTCGTCTCTTGGCTCCTGTGCCCCCCAGCCCCCACCCCCGCCCGCTGCTCTACTCCTCCTCCCCAGCCGCCTGCTCCCACCCCCCCAACCCCGCTCAGTGTCCTTCCGTCTTCCCCTCCTGCTCCGCGCGCTCCGCCCTCTTCTCTCCCGCTCCACCACCTCCTTGGGCTTCGCCGGGAAACCGCACGGGAGCCAGGATGGGCGCCGCCGCGTCCGTCCGCCCCCGGACCACCGCGGAGAGGAAGGAGGGCCGGGAGGACGGCGCCCCACCCGGGCTGCAGGCGCGGCCTGCCGGGGGCTGACTCGGGGCCCAAACAATTCCCGGGGGAGAGGGCGGTCACCTCACTGCACCCATTCTCAGGCCTTGGATGTCTGGGGTCCTCCTCTCTGCCCACTTGGTGGGGGAGGGGAGCTGCGCCCTGGGTCTCCCGAATACCCAGGATGGTCCCGCGAGGGTGGGTGAGTCCCCGGAAGGGAGGCCGAGGGGGCTCCGTAGCTGGAGGAGGAACCCGAGGCCGGTCCTCTTGGGTGGGACCTGGAGGACACACCTGGAAGTGGGGAGCTGGGCAGGTGGGCACTTCTCATCCCTGCCAGGAGAGCCCCAGCAGGGCTGATCCGAAGTCCCCACTCTGGGCCACGCCCCCTGACCTGCCCTGAGCTCTTGCATCTTCCAGTCTGGAGGATCCAATAGTGTGAGTGGAGACCACTGCTCAGGCGGAAGCCAGGTCAGCTCCTAAAACATGAAACCTCTATGGTAATTGGTAATTATGTTCCACTCACATCTCATAGCTGGAGAAACTGAAGTCCAAAGATGGGGCTGTCTCTTCCTCCAAATCTACCAGCTACACTTCATGCTCCAGATCCCTGGACACAAGACTTAATGCCAGGAAATGCAGAAAAGTATCAGGGAGGATTTAAAACACTGTTACAGTGATACAGAAAGATCTGATAAAAACCCTAACAGCAATCCATATCTAGCTACGTAGGGGAAGAGACTAGAGGAAAACCTCCCCAAATGCTCACAGCAGTTTGCATTCCTTCAGTGGGATGATTTTTTTTTAATTATCGTATTTACTGTCTAAATTGTTTGTAAAATGGTTATATTACTTTTATAAGGGGAAAAGTTGTTTTTAAAAAGCATGTGAAGGCATGGAGACTGTAATTGGGACATATCGAGGGAGGCCTTTCCTCGTCTTCTACCACAACACAGAAACTTCCTTGCTCCCCAAGAATCTGCCCCCACCCGAACATCATATGCCGGAAATTCCACCACTGGAGTCCTTTTAGTTACACATGCACAGTTATTAAATGTCCAAGAGAAAGGGATGGAGCGTATCAAAAGAGCAAATACTTTGTGATCTTGCATGTTCCAGAGAATGCCCAAGTGCTGAGTGTCCCTATCCTGACATCTTCCCTTCTGATCGGCCTGCTTTATTACCAAGGAGGCTGCCACTGCCTTGTCCCTCTCTCCCTGCCCACGCTGCAGTCACCTTACTACCCAACATGGCTGGGCTGAAGCTGCAATCCCGCCCTCCCTGCCAGGCATCGTGTCATTTCAGAATTTCACAAATCCGGGCGCTATCACTAAAAATTATCCTGAATGGGGCTGGAGTGCATTGGAGTGACGCCAACCTCAACAGAGAGAGAGAACACCCACACACATCAAAGGACTCACAGAAGGAAAGGCAAGATGAAAAAGTATGAGATAAAGAATAAGGGGTGGGGGAAGCTACACCCCATGAGGAGCTAAGAGGCAAGTGTTGATGGGCCTTTCCCTGAGGATGAGATCTTCTTTTGGACTCCTCAGACTGGCTGCAGACCTACCATATGCAGGCACTGTGCTGGGCGTTGGGATGCTGCAGAGAACAGGAAAGAGTCTATGCACCCCCAGCCCGCAAGTCAGGGACTAAACCAAGAATAGGCATTTAGGACTGTGGCTTGTCTACAAACCAAGCCAGGGTGCCAGTTCAGAGTGGGAACTCAGGGGAGGCCTTGTGAGACCGAAAGGAAGATGGCTTGGATGAAGAAACTGAGGCTCCGGTCCTTAGATTCTCGAGTGCTGAGCCCTTGCCCCTTGGCACGTGTAGCCACAGTCACCAAATACTTGCTGATTTACTAGCAGATACGGCGCCTCACCCAGATCTCCCTGGCTGGGGCGCACACCCTCCTCAGAGGATTACCCTTGGCTGACAGATGTCTGAGAGGCGATGCTCCCCCCGCCCCCTGCCCCAGGACTGCTCCTGCAGTATGACAGACCAGGCCCCCTGCCTTGGTGGGACAAAGTGTAGTGCACCTCACCCTCTAGAGCCCCCCATGGGCTACCATGGCTTTGCTAGCTCCTTTCCTCTCTAGCCTGCCTCCCCTACCCCCATCCATCACTTGCATGAGAACTACCCCTCCTTGAGCACTGCTTCTAGGGAGCCTGACCCCAGAGAGTCTGCTGTGCTTATTCTTCCAAGCACTTAGCAAATATAAACTGTTTGACCATCGTGACAACATCTACACATAGTCCTAACTTCATGTGCACATTAACAGAGGAGAATTGGGAAGAAATGTCACATGGCGTGCCAGTGGAGACAGGTGGAAGCCCCTCACTGAAAAGGCTTTATCCACAGGCCCACCCACGGCCCCTGGACCTCTCTGAGTCAGAGAAGTGAAGCAGGCCAGCCGCATTTGTCTTCCTAAAATGAGCCAACAAAAGGAAGAGACCAGAACTTGGGATGACGGAGGCCTCCATCTTCCCTTGTAATGTTTGCCCCAGGCAGAAACTGATGGTCCCTAAAGACCTGTGTGGGGCATTGGGATGGTAGAGAAGTTGGTAGGGGGCGTGAGGGGAATCTTGCCTCCCCAGCTTTGCCATGTATTGGGAAGTCTTGTGTGCGTGTGTTAATTGTTAGGGAGAATAAAGCCTGTCTTTCTCACAGTCAAGTGGGGCTTTCCATGTTGGACTGAAAAACAGAAGCATATACAAAGCACTGCAGGGAAAGGAGGCTTTCGTCTGAGCCGAAGGCACAATTATGCATTCTTTATTGCCTCCATATTCATACCACGGCCTCGCCAACAACGAAAAGTACAAACATTGTAGCGACCTCTCCTCGCACCAAGATTTCTGATGGACAAACAGCTCAGGAAAAGTCCACTTAGGCCCTGGGTACTGGAGATGCAAATATTGATACTTGCTCCTTGCAGACCCTTTGGGGAATCCCCTTGCCCAAACTGTTAAAATGCCCTCAAGTGGAGCTTGCAGAATATTTTCTTTAAAATGCTCCTTAAGGAGTAAATCCAACACACTCCTTGCATGCCAGGCAAGCATGCCCAGAGTTTGAAGATTTTTACTCGGATTCCGCCTTCTCTTCCCAAAGGATAACCTTGAGTTATCAAGGAAGGTACAAAATTGCCTCTATCCACATTCAATACTTGGGAAGCTTCTGGAAAAGAGAGCACCGGGAGGGCTGCAATCGTCATGTCGAAAATGAGAGATATAAATACTCTCACTGGAGAAGTCTTGCCTGCTTGTATAAACAATCGTGTGTTCCAGGAAGTGACACAGTGGGTAATTATACACAATGTGCTGAGAGGAAAACGGAAATGGGCCAGAGTGGGTCTGAAGAAGAAATGGCTCATTGTTTGGCATTCTTTAAATGCTGGAATAGTTACTCAATTATGGGCACTTCCCATATATTTAAATAATGCAAATCCACAAGCTGCAGAGAAGATCAGTTGGAGCTCTCTGGCTAATTCCTGTCTTGCCGGTTTAGGGTCTGCAGAGGCACAGAGCAATACCGAGATCCCTAAGCCGCCGAGACCTCTCCCCAGGCTCAGGAATGAAAAGCGGGCGGGTGGGGCTATTCCCTGAGGTTTTTTCCCTGACTTTAAGTCTTCAACTTTAGACACTTATTTGACTTGTGATCGGAAACGCCCTTGTTTGGATTTTGAGTGTGGACGGGGAGCCTGGGAGCATTTTTCTCAAATGGGACTTCCTTGACTTGGGAAGATTTGTGCAGTTTTGAGATGAGGTTTTTCTCATGTCCTGATCTTCCATTCCAAAGAGATGCAGAGTATTCTGAAAGAGTCAGCTGTGTGAATAAACCAGGCCATCTGTTTGGTCATTTTAGCTCTTTATTCTGCCGTGTGTTGGCCTCTTCGCGTACAGCAATGCCCTTGGCCTTGGTTCATGGCTGTCATGTTGTAGGCAGACTCGGCATTTGTACCTGGGTTATTAAACTTCAGCTATAAGAAAAAAAAAAGTAAGACCAATTTCTCTCCCAAACTTAGAATATTTGCTGTCACCCACTTGCTTCCTCTCCAGGTCTCCCCTCCCAAAGCTATATTTTTTACTTCTCCTTCCCAACCCTTGGGTTGTGTTGCACAAAATGGTAACGAGCCAAATGGAAATGTATTCCAGGCAAACCATAATTTTCAGAAGACACAGCTGCCATGAGCCGGCATACTACACGATGCTTCCTCCTGGCTGGGTTCTCTCCTGTTTAGGATTATGACTCTGGTCCCGTGTGGATTTGGAAAAACAGATTT